CGACGTAGTCATCCCATGTCTTTACCACTATTGGTCCATTAATGGGTGCCAGTAATATACCAATAGAAAAACAATGGCTCCCAATATTAGGCCATTAATACGCCAATGGTGACTCTTGGCAGTTTCCCATTGGGATACTTGTTATTCGTAAATATCTTGTTTTTTTTAAATAATGATTTTTGGCCAAAAATCGACGATTCTGGCCCACTGTGGCATTGTAACCATTAGGTATCCTAAATAGAATTTAAAAATTAAATTATTTAACCACTTCGGCGGCATGGCGTTCCAATTGGTGTTACGTGTGACGGTGACAGAAGCGACAACAAAAAGCGAACATGGCGTTCCTACTTAAACTCGATTTCTAAAGTCAGTGATCCAATTAAGCTTGCCAAAACCAAATATTGTTATTATTTAAGATCAAAGAACACTAATATGACAAAAAAAATTTAATTTTTCGAAGTTTTAAATTATTTATTAAGTGTTTAAAAGTAGTCAATTTTTAATGTTTTTTACGAATGGCGTTCAAAATTTCACCGAAAAAAATCCGTTTTTTGCTTTCAAACACAATGGGATTCTCCGGAAATTTATTACTTGGGGGTTTTTTGAGCCGCTGATTACGAATCTGAAATTTATTTTCAAAAATTCAAAATGGCGGATCTAATATGGCTGCCGATTTTTAAAAAATTTCTTCCGATTCATTTGAAACTCGTTACTCGGGGGTTTTGGGGGTCGCTGATTACGAATATCAAGTCTGTTTTTTAAAATTCAAAATGTCGGATCCAATTTGGCAGCCAATTTTTTAAAAATTTAATCGGATTAATTTCAAACTTATTACTCGGGGGTTTTTGGGGTCGCTGATTACGAATCTAAAATTTATTTTCAAAAATTTAAAATAGCGGATCCAATATGGCTGCCAATTTTAAAAAAATTTCGTCGGATTCATTTGAAACTCGTTACTCGGGGGTTTTTGAGGTCACTGATTATGAATATGAAGTTTGTTTCACAAAATTCAAAATGGCGAATCAAAGATGGCCGACGAATTTTTAAAAAATTTTATTGGATTCATTGGAAACTTATTACTTGGGGGGTTTTTGGTGTCGCTGAATACGAATCTGTAGTTATTTTTAAAAAATTCAAAATGTCGGATCCAATATATATATATATATATATATATATATATATATATATATACTAGGGGGGCCTCGCCCCCCTGCGCGCTTCGCGCGCCAACCCCCTATCTCTATTTTTATATTTATTTTAGTTTAAATTTTTATAAATTTAAAATAATGTTTTCTTACATGGAAAAAACTGCATGGTTGGGACAACCATATATATATATTGAAAAATACGGGATATCCATTTTTTTTCTATGGATGTGTCAACTAAAGAAATGGATGTGGTATATGAATGTGATAACCTTAAAAATGGATATTCCGTATTTTTCAATATATATGTTTGTCCCAACCATGCAGTTTTTTCCGTGTATATGAATGCATCATAATAAATTACATACAACCCCCTATCTGTATTTTTTATATTTATTTTAATTTTTATAAATTTCAAATAATGTTTTTTTAATATGAATGCATCATAATAAATTACAATAAGTATATGACAAAGTACACATGGATTTTGAAGTAATGAAACAATCGTTATTGACCTTTTTTTAACCTATATGTGAAAAATTAGATTAAATTTTGACTTATATTTTGACTGTATTTAATTTTAAAGTTATGTTTGCTTTCCCACCTATTATTTTGACTTAATTTTGGTGTTTTATTTTTACTCTCTCACCTATAACTTTTAAACTAAGTTTGAGGTTATGTTTTCCTCTAAAGGAAAATAAATTTTAATAAAATTTTTAAAAATAGATGTCAGTTTATAACATCTTTTATTTTGATTTAAACTTACTATTAAAATTTAAGTCAAGCTTCTTTTAACCTATAGGTCAAAAATTTTGTCAAATTTTAATATAAGGTAACGACCTCATGAAGTATCCTAATTAATTTGCTTTTTTGATAAGTAGGTTAAAAAATATGTCAAATTTGACCTAAATTATGAGGGAAGGTCAGGTCAGAAGGAGTTTTCTCGACAATTTTTGCGGTGTAGATAAAAACTGCTCTTAAAATTGACCTAAATTTTGAGGACAGAGGGAATTGTTTGTCAATTTTTACCTGTAGGTTAAAACTGCCCTTTCAATTGACCTAAATTTTGAGGGCAGAGGGATTAGTTTATCAATTTTTGACCTGTAGGTTAAAACTGCCCTTAAAATTGACCTGAATATGGGTCAAATGTAACTTGTTTCTGACGATGGGCCTACCTTAACAGTGGGCCAACCTTGACTATGTACCCTTTCTAAGGGGCCCTTAGAAATGACTGAATCAGCGGCGGCGGCGGCGAAATGATTTTATATTATAGGGATAGATATATATGGGTGATTCTCCAAAAACCGGTCACTTTTAAGTTGATAAAATTTTTTTTTTTAATGTTTAAAAATTGAACTTTCTTTTATTAATTACTGTTCATTGGTATTTAAATAAACTATATTTGAAGTAGGTACGCTACAAAACTATTTAAAGTTTAAAAATAATATTAAAATTATTTAAATTTCACCAGGATTATTTTGAATTTTTTCACGTCGCTCTTTTTCGACATTTGCTTTTTTCTGTTTGTTTAATTATTCTTTTATGTTAGACAATCCATATCAACTATATTTATTTTAAATTACATTTATTAATAAACATTAGTTTTCGTGTAATTAGCACTTTTCGCGTAATTGAAATGAGATGTGAAAAGTAAACAGGAAAACTAACCTCATCAGAGGCGTATCATCGAGGGGCACTGAAATTCATATTTCTTCCATATAGGTATTATTAATTGAATTAAATGATTTATTTTTATCATTTTTAAAATTATATTTAAAAATATATGAAAAGATTAGATAAATTTCAACTTTATTACCTATTTTAAAAAAAGTTTTAGGCACGGGCACACTTTTTACTTGTTTCGCACCTACCACGTGCAAATGTTTTGACACGACAAAGGACTCGACGGCAATGGAAATTTGTACGAAATCCATTAATACATATTTTAAACAAAAGTAAATAAAAAAATGGCTAGGTATACACTTTTGTCCTACCAAACTGTAAGTTTTCATCCGTTTTTTATTAATATTTATATTGAAATATTAAAGTTATGACAGCGCACGACAAAGGAATGAATAAAAATACGCAGTGTTTTTCTAGTGTTTTTTCTTAAAAATATGAAAAATATAATTTATTTTCCAATTTCTCTTGGAGATTTAAAAAGTGACATGTTTTTTCTTTAATTTCCAATTGATTTTTATATAAAAAGTGCACGTCTTATAGTTTATTTATACACGTTTATCCTTTGTCGTGCCAGCATGGAGATTTTTAAAGACACTTATATTTTAATAATTATCAATAACTATATTGATGTATTAAAAAATTTCATTGATAAAAATTTGAAGCTTTTGAGTTAATCTTTTATAATATTTATTGAATAATTAAAGATAGTTCTTTTTTTATAAGTAATAGTACTTTAAAGTTTGGTACTCAGAGGTAAAGACATATTGAATTGCTGTTTTCCAGCTGTTAAATGTTGTTTTCCACTAAATTTGTGTTAAAAAATTATCTTTTTTTATAAAGGGTATAATAAGTGATGTTTAAATAATATGTTTGTCCAATGTTAATATTTAAATGTTAAGTTTTTTAGAAGATATAATTCAAAGACATGAAATTGCCCACTTTCAGGAGAATCACCCATATATATAATTCCTGCTTACATTGGCTAGAAAAAATATCTTTTACCCAGAGCACGCCACGTGGAGGCTGTAGCGATAGGATTTCGTGCTCCTTTATTTTTTTTGTTTTTTATATTTTCAATTTTTTTTGTTTTTTTATATTTATTTTTATATATTTTCTTATATATATTTTTTGTATTAGTCGACGTCAGGGTGCAAAATTTGAGAATATTATTTATACATCAGATGTTGCCTTTGACAATAAATTTCTGTATTCCACATTATTTACAGTTTTTCCTATTTTATTTGCTGTCATTGCCAATGTAAGCAAGTATTATATATATTAGATCCGACATTTTGAATTCGTCAAAAATAACTACAGATTCGTAATCAGCGACACCAAAAACCCCCAAGTAATAAGTTTCCAATGAATCCGATAAAATTTTTTAAAAATTCTTCGGCCATCTTGGATCCGCCATTTTGAATTTTGAAAAAGAGATTTCATATTCGTAATCAGTGACCCCAAAAATCCCCGAGTAACGAGTTTCAAATGAATCGGAAGAAATTTTTTAAAAATTGGCAGCCATATTAGATCCGCCATTTTGAATTTTGAAAAACAGACTTCATATTCGTAATCAGCGACCCCCAAAACCCCCGAGTAACGAGTTTCAAATGAATAGGAAGAAATTTTTTTAAAATTGGCAGCCAGATTGGTACGCCATTTTGAATTTATGAAAATAAATTTCAGATTCGTAATCAGCGGCCCAAAAAACCCCCGAGTAATAAATTTCCGGAGAATCCCAATGTGTTTGAAAGCAAAAAACTGATTTTTTTCGGTGAAAATTGGAACGCCATTCGTAAAAAACATTAAAAATTGACTACTTTTAAACTCTTAATAAACAATTTAAAACTTCAAAAAAATAAATTTTTTTTGTCATATTAGTGTTCTCTGATCTCAAATAATAACAATATTTGGTTTTGGCAAGCTCAATTGGTTAACTGACTTTAGAAATCGAGTTTAAGTAGGAACGCAATTTTCGGTTTTTGTTGCCGCTTCTGTCACCTTCACACGGAACGCCAATTGGAACGCTATGCCGCCAAAGTGGTTAAAAACACACAAAACCTAAAAATTTAATTACTTGGAAAAATTAAAATAATTACAATTTTCTTTTTAAATTCAGCATTATGTTTTTATTAATAAATTTGGTAATTTGAAGTTTGTGAAAAATATTCTTACATAGGGGGTGAAGACTTTGAGCCAACGAGGTGGTCGATTATCAGACCTTGTATATTGGAAGCAAAAGGCCATACCCTCTTCATCGGTTTCCCATCGTGTGATTGTATTCCATTGAAATTCGACCACTTGCGATTCTAAAGTGCCGTCTTCTTTTGCGGCATGCAATTTAAATGACGAGGTACCAACAGCCGCAACCACGTGACCCTCTTTTCTCGAATCACAAGCACAATGAGGAAATACAATATCACCATAGCCACTTAATTCACGGGCTAATTTCAGATACTAGAAAAAACAATTATTACTGCCAAAATATTATAAATTTTACAATTTGTATTCCAAAATTTACTATCTGGGTCAAAATAAGTGAAACCGGCCACTTGAAAAATGTTTGTCTCCAATTTTCAAGTTGTCTATGGTTTTTGGTAGATATATTAGTTCACTTTTATACCCTACAATATTTTTTTTAAAAAAATGTTATTATTGAAATAATCAGGTGTTGAAGTTTTGGGTCATTTTATTTTCATTTTATTATTACTTTGAAACAAATAAAGATAATTAAGTTAATTTTTTCTAAATTAAAGCTTAAAGTCTAAAATTTAACCCCTTGACAGTCCATGGTCCTTACCTATATGGTCACGAAAGGCCGTTGAATCCGAATTTGAAGTCGGATTTACATAATTCAAAATGTCGGACCCAAAATGGCGACTACAAAAATTTTAAAAACTTTCAGATTTGCTTGAAACTCGTTACTCGGGGGTTTTCGGGGTCGCTGATTTCGAATCTAATGTCAGATTTTCAAAATTTCTGATCTAATATGGTGTCCCAATATGGCGGATGATTTCAAGATTGATGCGATTCGATCGAAATTTGTTTCTCGGGGGTTTCGAATTTGATGTTCCTTTTCAAAATTCAAAAAGGCGAATCGAATATGGCGGATAATTTCAAAATAATTGCTATTCGATTAAAATTCGTTTTTGGGGGTTTTTAGGGTAGCTGAATTCGAATTTGATGTTCGTTTTTCTAAATACTAAATTGCAAATTCAATATGGCGAACAAATTTTCTGCATATTGACGAATTTTTATCAAAAATGTTTACTTAATCTTTTTAGGTTTTTTTTATTTTATTCAAAAATTTGCAAGAATATATATTTTTAGACAAATTCATTAACTTTTAAAAAAAGTAGGTCGCCATATAGGATACGCAATTTTGATTTTTGAAAAAGGAACATCAGATTTGAATTCTGCGACCCCAAAAACCTTATATATGATGAAGGCATATTATTTTGTAAATTTTTTTTTTGGACCGTTTTTGGACCACAAGCGATTTTTAACTGGACTGCGAAGGGGTTAAAAATAAAATAAAGCGATTGCTAAAAAATAAAAATTTATAATTGTTATTAACAATTCTTTTAAACAATTGCAAATTGAAGAATGTTCTCAATGTTTTTGAAAGATTAAATTACCATGTATTGATGCGCAAAACTCCAAGGATTAATTTTAAAAAAAGAAAAATCAGGAACCTCTATAATAATAATCAGGAACCTCCTATAATATATTATAGAAATTATGTAGATTTTTCTGACAAAATGCAGGCGAAAATCGACTTTTAATCTTAACCCTAGAAGGAGTAACTGGGGTGTTTGGACACCCCAAGCAAAATTCAAAGTATTCCCATGGCTTAACCAATAATTTTTTTACGCTCAAAACCCGTTGATAATTTAGTTTGAACCTCTATTTTTTGACACCTGTATGTGCCGCCAAAAGTTTTGCTCTAGGAAGAGCTCTATCTCCTGTTAAAATACGTCTGGGTGTCTGGACACCCCAGTTACTCCCTAACGTTAGAAAAATTGTCAAGATAAGTAAATTCAAATTTTTTTCAAAAATCGTTTTTAATCAGTTAAAATCATCTGATAAAGTATAAATTGATAGGTTATGCATGAAAAAGTTGTATTTTATAAAAAAGAAACATTTTTATACAAAAATTCTATTTTTATGAAAAATAGACATTCTGTATTTGTAACAACTTATGAAATTTGAGTTAAGATTTATTAAAAATTTCTGTGCTCTCTCTACAGTCAGAAATTAAATTCTAATACAGAAAAATGTAGTATATGACAGTCAAATTTAAATTATAAATTCTATATTGTTAATAATATTTTAACATATATTAGAGGTATTAAGAATTGTTAATTAAAACTTTGATTAAATATTAATTTACAGAATCATTTCATAAGTTATTAATTTTAATGTTAATATATTCAGATATATGAAGTTTGTAAAATTTTAAATTTATAACACCATTTTTAGTAAATATTAATTGTTTAAGTCCATTTTATAGTTCATTTTTATGATTTTCACTATTCGTCAATTGTCTTTAATTTCTTTCACTTTAGATGTTCAAATAATTATGTTTTTTGGAAGTAATACAAAACTAATTTTTTCCCCTAAAAGTGTATCTATTTAACTTTAAAAACTTAAAATAGTTTTTAAATTAGTCAAATTTTTAAGAAACTACAACGTTTTTTGTGAAAAAAGGCAATTTTGCAATTTTTTGGTGTTTTTTTGGGTTTTTATGGTTTTTTTCAAAATTTTTTTAATTTATCAAAATATGAATAATATTATTGTATTCCTTACTAAAAAACCAATCAATTCATTATAATAAATTTTTTTTACGTCAAATATAAACCTTATACACGGAAAAAATAAGTCGCGGAAATTTTCCTCGACTTTGTTGAAGACTCTCGGATTTAGTGGAAAGTGTTTTAAAAATCATATTCACAGTTTTTGAAGAAATAGACTACATTTGAAGAAACTTTCCGCGACTGTCGAAGAAAATGAAGACTCCACGCGCATGTAACCGATTCCGCCACAGTCGCGGAAAATTACAAACCTGAATTTACTCTACAGCGTTCTAATTTTTAATTGACAGTCGCGGAAATTATTTAGAATTTTTTAATGTATATATTAATATCGACACATTGAATAATAAAAATAATAATAATCTTGACAATCAATTGTCATAAATTGTTAAAAAAACAGTGTTTATTGGTTTTAACGCGCGCAACTTTTGTGCGCACCATTTTCCGCGACTCGTCGACGAAACCTTCTATGAAGTGTTAGAATAATTCCGAGACTGTTTTTCGCTACTAGGTTTCTAGAAAGTCCTCGACTTTTTTTGGAGAATTTCTGCTAAAATCGTAGAACATTTCTAAAAGTCTATAAAAGATTCGTTCATATCCGAGAGTCTTCGATTAGTCGCTGAAAATTTCTGCGACTATTTTTTTCCGTGTAAAATAAGTTTAAAGCGTGGGGTGTCGGGACACCCCAGTTACTCCTTAGAGGGTGAGTAAATTAACGTACTCCTTCTAGGGTTAAAAATCCGCTTGAAAGCGAAAAGTTTCTAACAAAACAAAAGAAGATCTTATTTATTAGTTTGTAATTTTATCTTTTTCCAGGAACTTGTTTAAAAGAATTGTTAATAACAATTGAGGCTCCGGATCTTAAAAGGGCACTTTCCGCATAGACTTTACATGGTGAAAGTGCCCTTTTAAGATCCGGAGCCTCAATTTTCATTTTTTAGCAATCGCTTTATTTCATCTTTAAAGTATAGACTTTAAGCTTTAATTTAAAAAAAATTCACTCAATTATCTTTATTTGTTTCAAAGTAATAGTAAAATGAAAATAAAATGACCCAAAACTTCAACACTTGATTCCTTCAATAATAACATTTTTTTTTGAAAAATATTGTATGGGGAAAAGTGTACTCATATATCTACCAAAAACCATAGATAACTTGAAAATTGGAAACAAACATTTTTTAAGTGGCCGGTTTCACTTATTTTGGCCCATCTATATTTTAAATTTAACTATTTGCATTGTAATTATTACTATCTGTATTGTAAACTTAGTTAAATATATTGTGCAATTTATTACATACATTGCAAATTTTAATCTCCGCGTATTCCCAAATACCACAACATTTGAGCTCAATAGTGTGTCAATATTGCATAGCAATTTTGAGGCAACATTGACTCAACATTGATTTCGTCTGTCCTGTGGGAACATTCCCGACAGTAGTCGGACACTTTTCAATTTAGAGTAGCTATAAAACCGTATGAGATAAAAACAATGTTTTTGTTGCTAATCATTTCAAAGATCATCATAAACAAACCTAAGCTTTTATAATTAAAAAAATTTTTTTCTACGGTTTTTGAAGGTGGCTGACTACTGTCGTATTCTTACAACCAGAAAAAAGTGGTTAATGAAATGCAGTTACTGGACCAACTTAAAATTGTCTCTGTAACATGTTTTCTGGTTACAGTAACCAGGAATTTAGTTATATTAACTAAAATTTCCAAATAAAACAATCCTAGTTGTGACAACCATGATCGGTAGTGAAATTTGTCTTCAACTACGAACAAATGTTAGCACAACTTTAGTTCCTGGTTACTATAACCAGAAATTAAATTTATATTAACCATGTTATATCGTCAAGACAACTATTTTTAGTCATGTTCGAACAACTTGAATCGTAGTCAAAGACGTTTTTCATCACGAAACTTACTCTATACTAGCTACATATACCTCACTCGCTAACGCTCGTTTGGTTGTAATTAAACTTATTTGTTTTTACTTATTTCTTTGTTTTTATTTATTTGTGCTAAGTAAATATTTACTGGATATAAATATTTTAATTTATAGTATCAAATATATAGTTATTTGTAGCAAATTCGAATTATTTGAGTCAAATAATTGGATCTAATAAATATTATTTTAAATCAGTTATAGGAAAATTACTTGATTCAATAATGCATGGTTTTTAATTGAAATAAATATTTATTTGCATCAATATAATATTGTTTTTAAAATAACTAAATACTTATTTGTATCAAATATGCAATTATTCTTTATAATTTATTATGTTAATTCAGACTAATATACTTTTAATTGCTTTAAATATAGTCCAAATACTCAATTTATTTGCATCAAAGCAAAGCAGTGTTAGATTCAAATAAATCTCAATTTGTATTAACCCTTTAACGCCCAAATGTGCTGATTTTTAACTTCAGTTTCAAGCTCATAATATTGAAAGAACAAAATTATTTAAAATTCTACAAGGACATATCTCTACGTTTTTAGGGTCGCTTTTTCGAATGGCATGGTCAAAAAAAGTGACTGATTACGAATCTGAAGTCAGATTTAAAAAATTTAAAATGGTGGATACAATATGGCGGACAATAAAATTAAAAATGCATAGTATTCGCTTCAAATTTGTTACTTGG